CGCAGATTGCGAGTCGAGCGTCCTAACCACCTGGCCATGCCGGGCCAGTTTTGTTGCTAAGCGACAATGTATAGTATTGAGTATTACCAAAAGGAGCATGATACGAAGAAAGAAACTGAATTAAAAGCCAAAAATTAGTTTTTGTGGGAAAACTGGTAGGAATTTTGCCCCTTTATGTTACTTCTGGGAACAGTAAGAGTCACCATGTCAAATTTGGTGGTGATTGGTCAAATATTGTGCGAGAAGTTAGCGAACAAACAAACATACAATTTCGCTTTTGTATATATATATATAATGTTTGTGTGTATATATATATTGTCAGATTTAAATAAATAAATATATATATATAAGTTATTTTTGCCAATTGTTGAGATAAATGGCTTTTACTTATATTTCTTAATAGTATAAATATATATATACTATGTTGGGCTTAGGATTCTTCTACAGTAGTGTCTGTGACTTGACTGCGATAAATTCAATAAATTGAATAAACAGCACACACTTTACTTTTTTCAAATAATATATATATATATATTCGGAACCAGTTAAACCTATGTACAACAAAGTCTTCACACTATAGAGATTACAGGCATATCATAAACACTATTTATATATAGTTATCTTCTTCTTGTCAAAAGTCCACTTAGGCCTATTCAATTACATTAGAATTTCAGGTGACAAGTCGAACTATCTTCTCTATATTACTATCGTACCAGTATTCTGTGTGTGATTCACTTACAATTGTGGTGCAAGTTACCGTAATTCGTTTGGTCTTCTTTCTTTTGAAGATCCTATGTTCCTTTTGTCAAAGTGTACCCAGGCTGATTCAATTACTTTAGATCCACGCTTTGATGGAATAAAATTATCCTTATATTTTTATACATATTAACTGTTAGGCCTATCACATCTACATACTGTTAGCTTCCTAAACCACTTGTTCTCCTTTCTCAATTTTTCGTGTTAACTCAGTAATTATTTTTCTGAGAAAATCTTCTCATGCTGTTTTTACATCCAACAAAGGAGTTCGTTTTGGCAAAATGGAAAAGTTTAGTCCCTTTTTAACACCTCGTTCTGATCATTCCTTAATTCAGTTGACGATACATTGTGAACAATATCAATAGTGCTTATATTTACTCCATCATGTAGAGTACTACAGTTAGGGTTGCAATTGCTGCTGTTTCCGAGACTTGTTAACTTTAATTGGTCGTCACTTCATCACAAGTCTAAAAAAAAATAGGGATTATAAAAACTTTATTGGCTATAGCTAAGGTTAATTGCAGTGATATATATTTATATAAAAGATGGATGAGGAAATACATTATCTGGAAACTATATTGGAAAAAACGAAATTATCCTATTAGTGTAGTATAAGAATAGCTCCAAAACGTCTTACCGAGGCTCGGCATGGCCAGGTGGTTAGGGATCTCGACTCGTAATCTGTGGGTCACACAAAACATGCTCGCCCTTTCAGCCGTGGGGGCGCTATAAGTGACGGTCAATACTACTATTCGTTGGTTAAAGAGTAGCCCAAGAGTTTGCGGTGGGTGGTGATGACTAGCTGCCTTCCTTCTAGTCTTACACTGCTAAATTAAGGACGGCTAGCGCAGATAGCCCTCGTGTAGCTTTGCGCGCAAACCCAAACAAACGTCTTACCGACATTTTGGATACAGAATATTGTAGTGGAAATAAATTTGTTGAAATTGTTGTTAATAAACGTAACGTAAAAGAAGCTATTTCAATAAAACAATACAAACCTATAATAAATAAAATGCGAGGAGTCGGTTTATATTTGTGTTTAGGTCGAGCTTATTTTCATGACGTCACCATTGGGTGTATTTAATGTTTGTATTCAGTTGTGTGATATACCTGATGATGCCACCGCTAAACGGACGCGAAACATAGTTTCATTGTATATGTTCTTCTATCCCGTGTTAGTTGTTCTTAATTTGCAATTTCTAAAGTGCGTGGGATACCTCCAGTATTTACAATAAAAGAGTACAGTTCAAAACTTCTAAAAGTACAAATTAGGGATTTCACGTTTTTCTGCGATATACAATGATCTACCTACACATAAGCACATATTTGTATTCTAAATGTACTATAAAACGCATATTGTAATAATCCTGAGCTTAATGAAGGACTGCTAGTATTAAGTAACAAAGGATTTGGCCAGTATCGTAATATCCAAACATTTATTTTATTTGAAATATTTTTTTATGTTTTTTTTTTCACCGACTCATTGTCCATATTTTTTGTGAAACTATTTCAAGTTTAATTAAAATGTATTTTAAAGTATGAAATTTAATAATTATTAAATAATATATTTTGATAACGGAAAAACAGTGATATTTGCATAAAGTTTATGCTAAAAGCTCTTAACATAAAAAAAATGTTATAATATTTTTAAAAAGGACCAAGAAAAAACGAAAGCAGTGCATAGAAAACTATCAAAGTTAATATTTTTTATTTCTTTTTTTGCTAACTAGAGGTTATGTTCCAGTAGCCTATCCTTTGATTTTTTTTACCATACTATTTAAAACGTATGAACTTAACATTTAAAAATGGCCAGCAACGAATTTTTATAACTGAGAACAAGAGACTTCAGAAAAAGCAAGGAACAAAATTTATATTTCAGTACAATATATATATATACAAATATGTACAATGGGCAACAAACATTTCGTACATCATTAATAAACACCCTTGAGCATGTCCATATTTAATCAGCAATTTAACACTGAAGAAATAATACAGCTGAGCAAAACAACACCTATCAAAAGGAAAAGGTTTTTGATGTCCACATAAAAAGTGACTAGTGCTTTGCTTCAAAACGGGCATAATAAAGGAGCGTTTTTTTTTTGCAAGATTAATAAAATATTAAAGATGTAAACAGAGAGTGGCTGGATTCTACCAAATACCTCAAGTTCTGCACAACTTCCGTTACCTTAAGATCCAGGGTTCAACTCCTGTTTCGGAATACTTTTTTCACCCTACAAACTACATTAATCTCGATTATGAACGAATCTGATTCTGAACTCTTATCCAGTGAGAGTGAATGCAAGGGCATTAGAAAAAGTACGCACATATATTAAAAGTACGCTTCAATATTAAATTACATACAAATAATTTGAAAACAGCTTCATGATAATTTTCTACAGCTACCAAAGCTCATACCTGGTACATACACAATATTAACAGCATAAGGCCACATTTCTTCAAAGTGCTAAAACCATTTAAGCATTTTTAATAATACATTTTACTTTTGTTATATCGTTTGTAATGTTGTGTTTTGTTTTCACCAATCAATGACAAGGTGTCCATGATTTTGTGAAACTATTTAGAAATTACATATATTAAAACAAAAAAGCATCAAATTTAAATTTTATTAGTTAATATATTTCAATTATTGTAAAACAGTGATAAACACAAATATTATGCTAAAAAGCTCATAACTAAACAATATTCCTAATAAAAATGGTATTAGGAAGTCTTTAAATGGTCTTTCAAAAATCCATAGCAAATTTAGTTGATGCCTTTTTGAAACTGGAATAGTTCTGTTGAAATACTTGATTTTTTTCAATAAATCAGGATTTATACACACAACTTATTTTATTTTTCACTGACATTTAAAAATCTATTTTATATTTCATAAATAAGTTAAACTACAAGTACTGAAACTGAAAATTATTCATTTCATGATCATCAAAAGGTATTTCTTCTGAAGTTTAACACAAGATTGCAAGAACAGGAATTTTAATGTCTTTTGGGTTGTTTATGAAACCAGTAGAAGAACTTCAACTGTTAGAAATCAATCTCAATATTTTTTATATTAGCCACAGATGTGGTTCAGGAAATATGGTTTGTGCAAGTGCACTGAAATCTTTCTAGAAAATAAAATTACACAAAACAGCAGAAATGTCAATACCAAGCAAAAATAAACTGAAAAATTTCAGTAAACAACTTCAATAACTGTGATTACAAATGAGAATGGCATATAGATTATTCTAAATAAAATTCCAAGATGTGTTTTAAATTAACTTAAGGGTACACAGATTTGGAAAATTGCATCAAAACAATCCACAGTGCTGGTAAAGATGCTAATCAAGTAAAGTAAATAAAGGGGAATTATGAGTATGGTTCTGAAATTGAAATTTTCTTGCCCATTGTCATAAAATGAATTGATGTTGGAGGTGCTAATAGTATATTGTAGTTTAAAACATAGCATTACAACTACTAAACATCTATATTTGGCCGTTCATAAATGATTCTTTTTTTACCTCAAAAATAGGCAAAATGGTGGAAAGATGTACATTTTAAAACAACATTAAAGACAGATATAACAAGTAATTTTTAAATACTGAAACATAACTTGAAAATTGGACTATGATTATTAAAATTGATTCACAGAAATACTTTTTATGTCATTATGATATTAATAAATGTTTAGAAAAAAAGCATTAAGATGTCAAAGAGATAAAGATGTAAAAACAAATGTAGACACTACACAGAGAAATTCATGAAAAGATGATCAAGCTGAAGATCCTAATATTCAATACATACACTAGATGGTTCATGGAGTCTTACATTCATCAAGAAACAATGTTTACTCTCAAGCTGTAATTTTTTCAGAATTCTTATGTGAATAACATTGAATGTTTCTTCATTCTAAAATTTCCAAAGAAATATTCTTTCCTCAATGCACCTCTCTTTATAAAGAGGCAAGTCTCTAGTTTCTCCTTCACATTTTCATAAATTTCCAAATGCTACATTCTGGTCCCTAGAAAAAAAAGCAATAAAGTTGGCACTTTTTACACAACTGTTCACACCAGAACATGATTCTGGATTGTCAGTATCACATTTGTTTGTGGGATGCTTTATGGTTCTATACACAGCACAAGAATATTTTCAAAATGTCGAACAATCCTTGTAGAACAGTAAATTTTATCTCAGTATTCTTAGCAATAATGGATAAGTATGTGATGTAAAATAAACTAAAAGATTTAGATACAAACAAGCTAACCAATCCAAATTCCTGTTAGTGTGTAAAATTATCAAACATCAATGTTTTGACACACATTCTTTGGCCACTTATTGAAAAATTAAGGCAATCAGAAAGGGTCCTTAAAAAATATAACTAAATTGTAATTATTGAACTTATTATTTGCTGATCACACTCATAGCTAGCATTGAGTTATAATAATACAACTTATTTCATTAAATCTTAATGATTTATTAACGTAAGTATGCCTGCTGTCAAATGTATGTTGAACTTTAAGACAAACCATTAACTTTGTAAAATACAATAATTTAAGATTATAAAACCACAAAAATTGAAAGTAGTGTATTTTTTTTTATATATAAAACTAATGGTATCACTGAATTAGTTGGAAGTTTTGATTTGTAACCGAATGGATTACCAAACAACTTGTATTTATATGTGAAGTAAATTGGTGCATGTTATTAGATTAATTCTAACAGCCTGGTTAGATATAAACTTAAAACTAATGTTTCTTTCTTTATAAAGTGAAGTTTAGTTATTACATGTTTGAAAGTTATAAAATGCTACTTCAAAGTGTTATTTGTAACACTTGTATTTATATGTGAAGTGAATTGGTGCATGTTATTAGATTAATTCTAACAGCCTGGTGAGATATAAACTTAAAACTAATGTTTCTTTCTTTCTAAAGTGAAGTTTAGTTACTACATGTTTGAAAGTTATAAAATGCTACTTCAAAGTGTTATTTGTAACAGTTTTAATATGCATTCCCGTTCCTGATCTTCAAAAGCTTCATACGCTGGATTTGAACACAAATACAGTGGGATTAATTGTAGAGTACAGGTTCAAATTAAGTTACATTTTTTTTTCTCACCTTCATCACAATGTTGTTGCTCAGATTTAAGATACAGATACTGTCATTTTATCAGTTAAAGTTTGGGGACAATATTATGTTCATTTGACACTCTTATCAGTTTTGATTAATCCATCTCAGAAAAACATATTTTGTAGGATTAGAGCTGGATTTAATTTTGAATCTAATCTCATGGATTTTTGGAGAAACTTGAATGTTTGAAAAGTAAAGACAAATCTTTTGTAGAAGTTTCTAACTGTAAAAGAACCTTATCTTCTGTAATTACACCTACAACATATAAGATCAAACAGTTGAACTAATTTCATACAATGTAAAGTCAGTATTTTTTACCAAATTCACCATTATAAAAATGACAATGTCTGTATCATGTTCCGATATTACTTTAGTCACTGTAAGTAAAAGAATATCCAAAACTTAAAACAATCTTTGAACAAATATGGCTAAACTACCTTTCTCATAACTGTTATTTCTTTGACTTAAACACCAACCATTTTCTCATCTTTCCCTCCTCTAGAACCTTTCTTAAACTACTATCACATTTGTAGAAAAATATCGAGTCTTTATTTGTAGTACTTGTAAATGCAATGCAAGATGTATAAAAATGAATAGAAGATTTTAAATGGAGTAGTCCATCTTGTACATAATGCAACAATATTTCTAAAAAATAAAAGAAAAAAAGCGATTTCTTAATTTTGAGATGAGAGATCTTTCTGGAAAAATAACATGCACTATACCATATTCCAAAGTTAACAGAAGGCAGGATAAAATGTGCTTTGTAAGGAGTATGCCTAGATGTGATTTACTCATGGCCCTAGGGAATAGTTAGTCATCATTTCTGTAATATTAGTCCTTTGTGGCTCATACTCAATTTGGGTACAATAAATATTTTACTATGCTAATGCGAGTTTCATAACTTTGAACATTGTAGCTGCTATGCAGTGTAATGTCAATGAACTAGGTTAAAGACAGTTCACGAGTCATCCTTCTTAACTAACTGTGCTAGGGTTATCTGGGATAAATTCCTATAGATAGAATTTTCTCTCATTGAATGAAAAATGATTTGATATAACATCATACTTTGTTTTATAAACTATATGCAACTACATATTATGTATACGTTCATTGAAACTATTTGATAATCTGTACAGTCTAAACTGTGTCACATTTTTATGATGCCTTAATAAAGTTATGATTTCACATTGGATTAGAAGATGTAATTGTTTCTAGGGGCTAATTTTAGTAACTTAATGAGGCTACTATGACTTAGCAACAAGTCTTCTAAAATATATTCTTATTGCTTTCCAGTTCTTTGTCAATTAAAGCAAGTTCCAACTGGAGAGGCATTTGCAAGAACCAGGTCCATTCCTGGGTCATCTGGTAAAGTTACATGTAGCAAAATCCAGTCTTGTGGGTGTATTTTGCTTTTGCTCACGTGCAGATGACAAATGGATCTATATGTATCAAATGTAGCAGCCTAAGGCTGTGTGGAAATCTTGAAGATAGCTTAGTAGCTGGTTAAACGTCGGTCGTTCTTCTGGCATGGCTGTCCAGCAGAAAGCCATCAGTCTGTGCCTAAAGAAACAAAAACCTCTTGATAGTTATTTTTTTATATTTTCCTTGTTGTTATTTTATTCATTTATTGTTCACCACATAGAAGGAGATACAAAACCTGAGGGTATTGCAATTAATACAAGATATTCATCAAAACTAAAACTTGTGAAACTTAAGACTTGGTGTTGAAATATGTTTTATGAATATTAACTTTCAATTCATGTGGTCAAAATATATATGCTGTTATATTTTAAGCAGTTCAAACAACTAAAATTTTATTAGTAACATAAGCGTGATATATTTCCTACATTACGTACAACATATGAAATATTTTTTCTCTTTGAAGTCAAGAGATATTTAAAATCAGATGGCCCATACATTGTAAACAACATTTCCTTAAGATAATAAAAAATTATGCATATTTTTTTAACAGTTAATGAATTGTAAAAAAAAACAAAAAACTTACAGTTTATCTGGACAATTGATTGGTTGAGACAATCGATAACCATCTCTGAGTGAAGCTGCCATCTCAAATGGATCTATTTCGACGTAAGGTTGTTCACCAAGGGTCATCAATTCCCAAAGTGTTACTCCAAATGACCACTACATGAATAAAAAAAAATGTCTCTGATGATGACAAAACCTTGTCGAAACACTGTACATTTGCTGTTATGTTAAACTTATATTAAAGTTTTTCTTCATTACCCATTCAAGCCATTATTATACATATATATATATATATATATATATATATATATACACACACACACACACACACACACACACACATATATACTTACGTACTTACTTACCTACCTCCTACTAGTAGTTATTTACTTATTTTAGTTAGTAGTTAGTTATTTACGTTTACGTTT